CCCCAGCCCCGGGCCCCCGTCCCCCACCCTTCCCCATCTGCACTCCGGCCCCAGCCCCACCCTCCCCTACAGCCCGGCCGACCTAGTCCCCATCCCCTTCTCCCCCACCCCCTCCCTCCCTGCCTCCCACCCCTTCCCATTCCTTTTCCACCCCTTTCCCATCCACCAAATGGGATCTTAGCCTAATCCCCACCCAGGACCGCAGCCCCAACCCACCACCTCCCGGGACCCCCGCGGGCCCCCACCCTCCGCCCGCCCTGGGCCCACTTTCTGCAAGACTTCCTGGAGCCTCCTGCCAGACCCGCTGAGGTTTGGGCCGCGGCTCCTCCTGCCACCCCCTCACGCCGTCATGTGAGCCAGCCCGGCCAGCCGCTGCTGCTCGTTAGGGCTGGGGCCGCCCGGCCACTTTGTCATTGGTGACTGTGTGTTCAGCAGCCCCGCTAGGTGGGTCGCTGGGTGGCCCGGCCCCAGCTGGCACCCTCTTCCAGGGGAGCTGCCCTGGCCACCTGGAACTGTTTCCTCACTCACCGCCTCTCCTCCCCTTCCCTGGGCTTAAGCCGAGTGTTCTGGAAGCTTAAGGGACCTGGGGATCTAAGTCAAGATCCTTCTCCCCCTCCATACCTGGGGCTTGCCAAAGCTGACCTGCCCTGGGACGGAGGTGCTGGGGCTCAGCGAAAGGCAGCCCCCTCCTTCCATTTCTCAAGCCAAACCCTGCAGGGTCTTCTTGGATCCTCAGTTCCTCCGGCGGCCACACCGCCTGCCTGTACAGCAGCTCCTCATGCCGCCCTGCTCCCCACCCCCAACACTGCCCTGGTTCCCACCCCAGCTCCCAACTCCCTTTCCCGCAGTCAGATCTTGTTCCAAAATCCTAGTCAGAGCTTTCCCAACTCCAAGTAGAATTGAAAGACTTGTGGTGGCTAGTGTCTCTGCTGGGCTCTGCCGCACTGGCCTCCTGCTGTCCTCTGACTCATCAAGCTCATTCCCACCCCAGGGCCTTTGCACAGGCTCTTCTCGCTGCCTGGACCGCTCTTCCCCCAGACGCCTGCATCACTCCCTCCTTCACTCCCCACAGGTCTCTGCGCAAAGTTTACCTTATCCCGGAGAACTTCCCTGCCCCCCTGTCCAAATAGCACTCCCACCCCGTCATCACTCCATCCCCCCTACAGAGCTTTGCATCCCTCCTGTGCACTTCTGGCCACCTCTGTATATTATACAGTCACTTACTCGTGTGTTTATTGACCCCCGTCCATACACTGGACTTAGAATTTCATTTCACAGGACAGAAATGCTGAAGATGTGCACCATGCCTGAAGAGGGGTCTGTAAATGCTAGCTTCCCCATCTCCTCCTTGGCCCCCCACCTCGAGGTCACCTGGTGTTCTCTGCCAGGAGGACCTGTTGGAGGAACTGGGGCAAAGGTCATGAGCTTCAGCCACTGACTGTGGCCTGAGCTTCTCCATCTTTGTATTTCACCAAGCGTGGCCTGGGACAGACAGAGAGAGGTGCAGCCTTGGGGCCCGTCTCTAGTGTTAATGTTTGTGAACAGTAACGTCAGCTCTTGGGTTTCCGGCTGGGAGTGAGCAGTTGTTCTGCCCTGCCTTAGAGTCAGCCTTCCCTGGAGGGTTTTCTGAGGGGTCCCAGGACCAAAAAGGTTCACCAGAATCCCACCTGGGGATGTGGTGGACACTCTACTCTGCCCAGCGTCACAGTTGGGTTTTGAGCAGTTGCTGAACACTGGGTCTTGACAGGTGGCAGTTTGAAGGGGGTTATGTCTGTCCACAGGGAATGAAGAGTCTATCACTAGGGGAGACATGCAGGTCTCAGCAGCTGGCAAAGGAGAGATCTAGGAATAAAACAAAGGGATAGGGTTGGGGAGTGGGCTACTGGGGGAAAAGGACAGAACAGCCAGTGCAAAGGCCCCGAGGTAGAAGTGGGCTGGGCCATTATGCAAGCAGAGACAGCAAGGCCTAGGAGGGGAAGAGCTGAGGGCAGAGATGCGCAGACCAGGAAGGGTCTGCAGTCGCAGTAAACACAAGATTTCACTCTGTGTGAGATGGGGAGCCAGCAGGCATTGTGAGCAGAGTGAAAAAGGTCTGACTTACATTCTAGAAGGATCTCTCTGGCTGCTGTGTTGAGAATAGACGGATGCAGGGGCACTGGGCAAGGGTGGGAGCAGGGAGACCTTCTTGGGCCATTGCTGTGGTCCAGGTGACGGGTGATGGGGACCCAGCCCAGAGCAGCAACCGTGGAGGTGGAGACAAGGGGTTGGCTTCTGGATCGTAGAGGTTGGACTGACAGGGCTCTGTGAAGGATTGGGTGTAGAGTGAGAGAAAGCAATTAATGTGGGACAGTGAGGGGGCTTCAGTGGAAACGAGAGCTGGCATCTTACAACACTGAGTAGCAGGGGTGGACGGCAGGCTCTGCCACTTCCCAGCCTCAGAGCCACCGGCTGGGCCTTGCTGGGCCTCATCCTTTAACGAGGACAACAGGACTCACCTGGATTCATTTCCTGTGATGGTCACAACAAAGTACCACAAACTGACTGTCAACAAATTACACAACAGAACTCTATCCTCTTACAGTTCTAGAGGCTGGAAGTTCAAAATCAAGGTATTGGCAGGGCCCCACTCTCTCCAGAGGCTCTGGGGGAACCCTTCCTGGCTCTTCCAGCTTCTGGTGGCTCCCGGCATCCCTTGGCTTGTGGCTGCATCTCTCCAATCTCTGCCTCCATCTTCACATGGCCTTACTCTCTTCTCTGTGTGTCTCTCTTCTGTGTCTCATAAGGACACCAGTCATTAGATTTAGGGCCCACCCTAATCCAGGTGGATCTCACCTCATGATGCTTAACTTTATTATATCTACAAGGACGCTTTTTCCAAATAAGGTCACATTCACAGGTACTGGAGATTAGGACTTGGGCATAACTTCTTGAGGGGCCCAAATCGGCCCACCATACCACACCCTAGGCAGTCATGAGGACTAAGTCTAAGAGCTAGAGCAGAGCCCAGTACACAATGAAAGAAATGTTAGCAGTGGCAGTGCTGAGTGCCCGCCACTGTCCCTCCCGCCCCCTTGGAAAGCAAGGTTGCTCCCAGCACACCCCATGCTCCCTGCTGTGACCACGACCACTGGGCAGCGTGCTGACCTGTGCTTAGGACAGCAGCTCCCATCCTCACCAGTCGCCCCACCTCAGCCCCTTAAGGCCCCTGTGAGGATCATCACTCTTACCCACTCAGTGACCACTTGGTCACCAAGACTGTGTCACACCAGGGCAGGGTGGCATCTTTCCCTCCTTCCCTATGGCGTGTGCTCAGTGATGCCTGTGGGATGATGGACATGTGGCTTCACAGGGTCACTTTGCCCCTGCAGGTGAAATCAGTGGTGAGGCACAGGCTTGAGGACCCAACAGCTCAGGTTGGGGTCCCGGCTCTGCAGCTTACTAGCTAAGTAACTTTGAGTAAATCACTAGCCCTCTGCGCCTCAGTTTTCTTCTGTATGAAATGGGTGTGGCACTTCCCTCCTAGAGCTGTCAGGGGACCAGGTGTCAGACTGCAGCCGGCACAGCCAGGTACTGACTGCCGCGTGCCTGCTGACACTCACTGTCATTCCTGTGCCTCCCAAGGGGGCCGGTTCTGGGCTGGACAACCGCCTGGAGGAAGTCTCTGCACTGCTCCAGGTTGTGGTCAGGGACTCGTGGGAGGGCGACACCACTGGCTGATCTAATTTGAGGAGCGTCATAACAGTCGTCTCCAACAGCTGAGACAGAAGTAGCCAAAACACTGACGGCAGGCCAAAACAGGGGCC